TATAGGGCTTCTGCAGTTTCTTTTTGGATGTTGGCAGACAATGCGATAAAATAAGTATAAGGTATAAAAACAGATTACTTCCAACGTTTAATTGAGTCCTGCTCTTGATTTTGTTAGTAATTTGTACCCACGTACACGTCCAGTACAAGTAAAATCGTCCAAATTAATTTTAATTGCAAATGTGTCGGAAACACTCGTTCAGAGAAACAAACTCAACACGTACGTCATATATTTGTAGGGTACTTATAATAAAATGAAAATGTTATATTCGAGAGAGCTGACATTGTATATAATTCAAATAGGACTCAAACAGTTGTTGTGCGATCTTTTTGTCAAGACACGGCAACCCATTGACAAGAGTGTGCAAAGGAAATTTTATTGCATGCAACACAAACTGCTGGAATTGTGATGATCTAGAGTAGAGCTAGATTAGAATAGTAGGCAGCGCTTTGGATGTGCATAAAACGTAGTAGACTTAATGTAGGGTGTAGATATTTTGACATTGACATTATGATTTATTTAATCAATTATTTGTATCAAACTTTAAATGATTGCAAAAATGGGTGAAAATCTTGCCTAAACATAGGCTAATCAACTTGCCGACAAATAAATTTCGAGTACATTAAAACAAAAAAAAGCAACAAAAAAAAACATTATTTATTCCTTACTAACTCTGTGGGTACGTACACATACATATCTACGTATATGTATCACTGCTTTTTTCCGCAATCTAACTAAACTACTTAAAAATAGAATAAGAAAAACTAAAAAACACGTTTAATATCAACAATGTGCAGACTTTGATTAACTTTGTTTATATATCAAAAAGATTTTTTCCGCAAAGCTCGATGAAAAAAGTATTTATATGTATACCATATATACATATGTATAAATGCGAAACAAAATAAGCTCTTGTGTTGAGTTTATTAAAACAAAAAAAAAAAAAAAAAAAAAAAAAAAATGTATTTATGTGCAGATCTTAAGAAAAGCACACATTACACCAACAATAACAAATTTAAGCCGGTAAGGTGGCTCTGATTGCTGTCTAACTGGCTGACTGACTGTTAGCAGATATTGTATTATATTTGTTGTTGGGTTGACTGTTTGTTGCTTGCTCGGTTGGTTTGTTGGTTCGATGGTTGGTTGGTTATTTTGCTGATGACGCCGCACCTTAGCTGTTATTTCACGTGTATATGTATATATGTGCTTATATATATTTCTACAACTATTGTTGTTGTATCTTATAATAAATGCAGTTAAAACATAACATTAATATAATAAATGCCGTCCACGCAGTTTACTTATTTTTTCAACATTTCTTTTTTTTCGTTTTGTTTTTAGTGATTTAAAAACTTTATAAAATCGTAATTTGTGTCTACGATACATATACATGCATATATATATATATATATATAGGTATTTTCGTACATATGTCGAAAATAATAAACATGGCGGTAGCCGCTTGTAAACAAAAACTCAACACCATAGGTTTCTGTGTTTCATCATTAGTCTAAAACATTCATATTGTTATTTTTTAATGTAAAAGGAAAGAAAACAGTTTTTAAAAATTATGATAAGTTACAAGAGTGAACATTATATAGACATTTGTATACCTATCTAAGTGTACACACATATAATTAATACTTAGTTTACTGAAAGTTTGTATTTCAAAAATGAAGCTGACACTTACTAAATGGAATTAAAAACTTTCGCGAAAATTTCGAAACATTCATTAAAAGTTACTTTCTATTAGACCAAAAGAATCGACGTAAATGTTGTAATCGGTAGATAAAAATACGTAATTGTACTGAATAAGGCAATGAACAAAATATAGCGTATGGAACAAGGTATGTTTATCTCGCATACATTATTCGATGAAAGATTTTGCTAAAATGTAATGGAACTTAATCAACAGTCCTAAGTTAGTTCTTTTCCTACAATGAAAGAAGAGAAACACTTAGTCACTGATAAAATGTGAACTTGCGAATAGAACATCTAAACTTGAAAGTAACTCCGTAAACAGCTGAGGCAATGACAAGTTAGCGATGTTCAAAGCAAAGAGATACGTAAGGCATTTAAATGGTTATAAATAATATATAAATAAAAATATATTTCACTCATCCACAAATACATCCGCTCTTCGTTTGCCTTGATATGACGACCAATTACTCAGCTGATGCTCAGTATTCGTCTAGCGCGGTAACGGTTAGAGAGATGTAAGAAAAACGAAGGAAAGAAAGAAAAAAAAAGGGAAGGCGGCCGCAGCCTAGTAGATATGTGCAATATCGATCAGCGTTGGGCTTTTGCCGACTAAGCGCTCACTATAAGCTACGACCAAAATAAACGCTACTGCGTTGAAATTTGAACCCACAAAAGCTGCACTTAGTAGCAGCGGTTCTTACCTACTCGGCTGCTCATGCTTTGACACTGCAAATTGTAGTGCAAAGTAAACAGGATTTTTTCAAAACAATAAATTCTTGTGGCATCCATCACTTAGGCAAGTTAGAAGAGGAACATCCTTCCATAACATTTTATCAATAGTGCGAATTGGGTTTTTACAAGCAAACTTATTCCATAGTAAGTGAATGTGAAAATTAATCGCGGAGTTAGATGTCCATTTACCTATCCTCGTAATACTAGTGTAACTAAAGTACATTGTATTTCACACCAGAGTCGTTCATTAAAGGAAAGCGGATGTACATAAAGTTAAGGTACGCTTTGAACCTCAACCGAAACACAATAAATGTTATTTCGATCCATTTGACTATTCTTTCCGAAAGAAAGCCACTCACTAAATTTATGTGTCGTAGGCGAAAATATACGCTGGAGATGACTTCAACAACCACGCTACGAAAATTTTAATTGAATACTCATTTGTCGGATGGCTCGCACCGCTTAAATCAAGATTTTAATCGGTTTTACTTGAGTAGAAATTTTTTCATTAATATGACCAATAAAAAATTCACATTGCTCGATCAAACGCTGTACTGGGGTGATCTAAAATGCTTTGGTTGGTTCGGTCAACTAAAGAATTTCGTCAATTCGGTTAAATTGAAGATTCATCCTAATGAGTTAATTTTAAGTAAGCAAGTTGAAACTTTACCTAAGTCGACCAAAACGAAGGCTTAATCAACGCAATTAAATCAAAATTTTAATATTTTCAAAAAAATCAGGCTTTTAATCAATACTTTACCCCATTTGCTAATATTACGTTCGTTCCCAACATGAAACCAAACATTTACGCAAACATTTCTCTTTCGACCTATACTGTAGTTCGACTAAAAGTTTTGTACAAAAACTAAATTTACTTCTTGCAAATTTTGACGCTGGCTTTTTATACCAAGGCATCATGTAATAGTTAGTAGGTATTAATTGCAGTGTCCGAAATAGTTTATTCATTAAGTACGTAGGATAACATACAGTTAGCGGAGGATTATTGACAAGTTCAAGCTCCGCCGATTAGTGCATAATTTTACGGTTTTATTATGCAAATTTTTAAACATTTTGTTTCAAGGTCATTACTATGTAAAAATCATATGGATTCGTTAATAGTAGCGACATCTATTTGTCATCCTACGCACTTATTGAGTGTTATGTTAAAAATATATTCCCCTGAAAAATTCACAATCCATTTATCTCATGCTAGACTTGTGTGTTATTATTACATCGATGGTTACAGTGAAACTACAATTTTTCTAAATTCATTTGTAACAACAATCGTATTCTGAACAACAGCAGAGAGGCGGCACAGGTAACAAGGCATTTTTCTGCTATGCGGCTAGCGGGGTACAATGTACACGCTGTTTTTTAATAAAACTGGCATCGGACTGTTCCTTCGGAATTCCAAAATTGAAGCAACATAAAAATAACTATAACAAGAATCCGTTTCGTTCTATTTGATGACTAGTCAGTCAGTGACCATAACGTCAGAACATAACCCCAAGCGAAATAAAACTATATTTTAATTTGATTTTAATGTTTATAAAATTTAAAAGAAAAAAAAAAATTACAAAAGTTTTGATTTTTTCTGCTGTAAATTACTTAAATTAAATTTAGATCAAGTTTAATACACTTAGAGTAAAAACTTATAATTAACTAACACACTCGCATGTGTAATGAATGACTGATAAATAACTTAAATAAGTGACAATACACACAGGCACACATTCAGCTACACTTATGAGGTACAAAAGACATAATATGATATAAATACAATGGCAACAATAAAGCAGAATGACTTTGGAATAAACATAACAAATTAATGATGATAATAATGATATGTAATAAATAACAACAACATTACAGCAATAACCTATAAGCGTATGTGCAAGCATACAAAAAAATGCAACTTAAGACCTAAAGCAAAGAAACAAAAAAATAAATAAATAAATAAGAAAAATCAAGACAAAAAATTTCTAAGGTGTGACTAGACAAATGACAGACACCAAAGAAACTACTCATATAAATAAATTAATTTAGATAAATTACATTTAAATTAAAAATATGAATAGAAAAAAAAAAAAAAAATAAAAATAAAAAAGAAACAAATTAAGAGAATTTTTCGTTTAATGATTAATAAATAAATAAATTAAGTAAATATTAAAATAAATGACATATAGATTAAGAGAGAAGGAATCAGAGAGAGTAAGAGAGAGAGAGAGAGAGAGAGAGAGAGAGTGTGTAAGTTACAAAGTTCGCTATGGGACGATGCATTGCGATCTTAATTAATTTTTGGCACTAATAGCGATGAAAAAGTCTTTGGTCGTTGGACTAAGTGAATTGGCAAACTATCTTAATGAAAAGGAGTGTCGAGGTAAATATCTCTACACTTAAGTGAAAACGTTTCCACACTCAATTGGAAACACGAAGACGCAAATTCGCTAAGCTAATGATCACGAAGTAGAGTTAATGTCTTCATTTTCAGGGAAACATGTACAATGTTTGTGTTCAGAGGACAGCTCGTCTTCAAGGAAACACAGAGAGTGTTTGCATTCAAGGACACGTCTTCAAAGAAATACTGAGAACATTTGCATTCAAAACTCGTTCATTGGTCCCATTAAAGAGTGATGAGACATTCTTGTCGTTGTAGAATGCATATAATCCTCGTCTTCTTCGCCTATACTGCTGCATACACTGTCTGCATAATAGATACGCGATTGATGCGCTGGATTGATGTTCTCATTGTAACCCGTCGGAGGGGAATAATTATTTTGCAGATCTTGCCTATGCTGCGGCATATTCTGCTGATGTTGACTAAAGGGACCGCCTGATTCCATGATAGCGTTACTAGCTTCCTTGGGTGACGACTGGCAACCATTTTGTAGGTGTTTGCCCAATAAAGACATGCGAGAAAACGATTTAGTGCATGAAGGGCAAGAATATTTCTTAACATCCGAATGCGTTTGCATATGTGCCCGTAGATTGGAACGATCGGCAAAAGCACGATTACAATGCTGGCAACTAAACGGTTTCTCACCAGTATGCGTTCGTATATGACCTTGCAGTAGCCAGGGTCTTGAGAACGCTTTACCACATATCGGACACTTACAGGGCAAAGTATGAGTTCTGATGTGCATTTTCAAAGCACCCAACGAAACATAAGTTTTATCACAATTTTTACAGTTAAAAATCTTTTTCACTTGATTACCCTCAGCCGCAGGGCAATGAAATTGTTGATGTTTGTTTAGACCCGAAAAAGTTGAATAGGATTTGCCGCAATCATCGCAATGATAACGCGGCACACCTACTGGTTTTTGCATAGATTGTGTTGAGGCCAACGTTGACGCTTGTATAAGAGCAGCTGCTTGATCGGTGGAAAATTCCGAAGAATCGTAACTTTCATTACTACCCTCCGGATTGCTGCGTATTATTTTGTATTCTGTACTCTCGAAAGCGTGACTCTGCTGATGTTTCACCAAACCAGCGTAAGTTGAATAGCATTTGTTACATTGTTGACACTGATAATACAAATCGTTAGAGGTTTTCAATTTTAAACCCAAATTTGTATTGTTGCTTAAAGGTTTTAAAACTTCTTTAACATTGTAAGTGTTATTGCGATGATCGTTGTTGTTGCTGCTACAATCATTGTACTGCTGCATTTCGTCAACGGTTTGTTGATGGGGATGAACATTCTGCAAACCCAAAAGAGCTCGTGCTACGTGATGCAAGCTGACACTGTCGCCCGAGGCGTTAACAGACGACGATTTTATACTTAAATCTTGAGGTTCAGAATAGTTATCCATTGTTTGATTATAAGGGACGCTACCTTCCAACACGTGAGGGGAAGTTTCTCTAGAAAAGTTGCTGGTATGCAAACAGTCCTCATATTCGGCTATACTTTTCATTAGGTTATTATTAAAATTCCGCATAACTGGCTCAATAACTTCGCTATCCTTTGGTTCAATTTTGATCGGAACGTTATAAAAATGTTCATCTCTTGGAAAGTTAGAAAGAGGAGGACAAGGAGAAGATTTCAAGTTCATGTGAGTTGGTGAGATGTTTTGTAAATGAATAGGTGCTAATTGCTGTTCTTCTTCTGCTTCTCCTGGTTGTCCTTCCGGTGGTAAGGGGAAATCTCCATAGCCTAAGCGAGCTAAACTACGTGCAATTTCTTCTCGCGTAAAGACCTCCGGGAAAGCTTTAGCAATTTCTCTTGTCTCCTCCCAAATACGTCGGGCCAATTCCTCTTTAGATTGAGCATTAACCTGAATTTGTATTTCCGCACTTGAGTCGATTTTTGTCGAGGATACTTGAGGATAAGCTGATTTACTTAAATCCACAGGACCTTCGTCTAAAATTTTCAATTTAAATAATAAAAAAATATCACAATAACTTTCTTGTGAAAGATTTCTTCACAAAACACTTTGTTCCTCACCTTGTCGATCCTTAAGAATTGTATTCACTTCCGCTACTGGGTCCACTAGTAATATAGGACGCTTTTTTAGCGGACATTTGCGATAATTTATTTTATCCATATTTTTAAAATATTTTTATTTTCACTTTTCATTTAACTTCCGAAAAATTTGTTTCCCCGTGTTCCGTGTTTCCCGTTTGAAATTCATTTATTGAGTGATGCAATTAGATCTGCGATTACTTTATTTTATGTACTCGGAAATTCGGTGTTCATCCCTCATGACCTTCCCCATATTGTGATTATTGTTATTTTTATTATTACTTTAAAAAGCAAATCACATACACATTCGCACTAGCAGCGCAATACATTATTTCCCGATCTTGCAAAGCATCTAAAATATGTTTGAATATGTGTATCTGGTGATCTTCAAATTTCAACCACCTCATTGGACGCACAATACAAATAAACGACCAAATACAATGTAAAGAAAGAAATACACGTTAAAAACCACACCAGATGTTCTCCGAACAAGCTGCTGTTGCTATTGCTGCACACAGCGCATATTCATGCAGCACGTGCCACATGCATATATGAGTACGAGTACGTAATCTACGACATGCATGTGCGTTAAAAATCCACCAAAAACATTTTTTTTTTTTTTTTTTTTGTTTTTCATAGCTTACAAGATAATGATCATAATCAACAGCCAGCCAGCCAGCCAGCCAGCCAGCCAACCCAGCAAAACAACTGAGATTATTTTTACCATAAACAAGCGCGCATATACATACATTCGTATTCGTATTCGTATTCGTATACGTATACATACATTTTACTCTTCCTGAGGAGAGTGCTCTTGCTTGAAATTGTTGCCCCTTTTTTCGTTTTATTCGTTTACAAACACCTGGAGTTATGTCCATTATTGAAATTTACTTAAAAATTGCTTATAGGTGTGCATGTATATGGGGTGGAGTTTTCTCATTTATGGAAACGTACACACACAAATATCTATCTATTTATCTGCAGACAAAATAAAGAAATTTAATACTCTCTTCTTTTATGAAAAGAAAAAATTGTTGCCTCGTGTTTATTGTCTGACTGTTGGAGCAGGTTAAAATAGTAACGGATATGAACGCGTTCGAAACGACTCTTAATATTTTAACAAAGAGCTTTACGCTTACACTTAGAAAACTCTTTGCGTCTGAAGAATAGCTCTTTTAGTTAAAGCGCTTTAGACTGATTCTCTTAAAGCTTGTGTTTCATTTTCACTAGTTTTTAAAGTTAAGAGAAGCTTGCTTTATGTGATCACAAACTTTGATGTGCGAGTTAAATTTTTTCTGTTGGAAAGTCTACGCGAAGCACTTAAAGTACTATTACATTATATCTGAACACAATTTTCTAAGAGAACCTTCAAGTCGGTTTTATATTAACCAAAAAACTTTTCAATAATATTGTCACTAATAGTTTTTAAAAAAAAAAAAAGTCGAAAACTCAAATTGTACGGAGCGTTTAACCCTATGGAGATCTCAAAAGCGCCATAAAATTTCAATCAAATGTTTCACTATGTTGATCAAGTTTTTATAATGAACACTGCCGTGATTTTGCCCTCAAACATTCATAAGAATCAAAAAAAGAATAATTGATATGTTATTGTTGTTGTTCACAATTTAATTTCATTTATTTATCCAAATGAGAAGCATAAAATATTATTAGAATCACATTTAAAGAAAATCTTCAAAAGAGAGAAAAATATATTAGTTGATGCAAGTTCTCCATAACCTTCTCTCTGAACACTTCACAATTTGTAGCGAGATGATTAGATGTAATATTGCGAGATGATTGTAATATTCTAAGAAGATATGCACAGTTTTCCGGCATATATTTTTTTCAAATTGTGGACCAATTGAAGTCTTTCTGTTCAAAATGCGGGGTTCGTCCGCGACTGTGAGCCTGCGAGCCACATCGTTATAAGATTCGTTATAATAATGAAAGTTGTTACTTTAGCCATCATGACTAACTCCAAGTTTACAAATATTTTCTTTATTATTAATTGTTAATGCGTAATAAAGCAAAAAACGCAATATGAAATAATTAAAAAGTTTAAGTGCAAATAAGCCGCTGATCAAGTGAAGGTAAGTGTTAAAATCACAAGTCTAGCCATCTGGTCTGAATCTGTTTCTTTAGTCTAAATAAGTTGTAACAATAATAATAATAATAAAAAGTTGCAGTTTCGATTAACCGTTATGCCCATCAATCTTTTGCTCTTATCTGCGCGCGTACATGTCTCGCTAAAGTTCATAGGATATATGAACAGTAAATTCATATCTGTGCCATTGTTGTGTTGTGATCAATATTACGACGATTAGCAGAAATAGAAAAAAAAGCTCGATCGACTTTCTATTTTCAGTCTTATCATCCATCGTTAGTCACAAAATTTCCTCATATATCGGACAGAATACATATTGTGTATAAAACAGCAGACAATTCTTTTGATGTTATCCATCAATTCTTTGAAAATTGTCATAAAATTACAAGCACCGCTAAGACTGAACGGAAACCATAAGAAAGAACTGCTGCTTAAAAGAGCGAAAGCCTAATTCAGTAAAGCTTAGGTTTTTTCGACGCGTTTTCCGATTTGAGCAAAATAAACCTATAAATCCTTTCCTCATATGAAAGTTGCTTTTCCGTCGACTACCTAACAACTAGCACCAGTTGTTTCCAAGCGATGGTTTCGTTACATTATGGCAGCTTATAAAATGCTACCTTTAGCTAACCACGTAATTGTCGTTGTCAAGGAAATTCTTGTTCACTGTCCATGCCATGTAATTGCCATACCTATCGTGCTTTCGATTTTGTACTTTCGTAATTTTTCATCGCTTTTTCTATTAAAGATGGAACCTAGCTGCTCCCCCGTTCGTCATTTTTATATTGAAGAGTTTCACTTCTTCAAACTTTGCAAAGACTATACTGTGTGCACGGAAGGGAAATAGATTATACTATAAGGCAGAGTTTCCCAGTACTACTTGCCGTTGGAGACGGCATGGTTTAACATAGCCCGCAGACAAATATGCGAAAGCCATATCCCCAAAAAAAGTCCGTGCGCGCAATTATTGGTTTAACCACATATGGCGCTATGAAATAAGCGTGAAAGATATATTCGCCTCAGTATCAATCTGGGATAAGATCAATCTATAGTTATTATAAAAAAGTTGCGATTACTTTTATTAATTTATTAATAGAGGACACATCGGTTGATCTCTCAGAAAGACTATTCTCGTGGTGTAACTTTGGATGTTTCTACACAATATTTCTGTCAAATTTCAGATCAATATCTGTAATGTAACCAAATAAGAACCATTTTGATATGTAAGCTGGGCTAAAACTTATTATTTTCTCTCACCAAGGGCAAAGTCAGGTATCGCGTAAATATCGTGATATTTATAAATAATAATTAAGCATAAGCCGGCTGTGGCTACTCCCTCTAGGTCCTTCGCTCTTCTATTTAAAAAAAAAGTGTAAAGGTGTTACGTAAATCATTGTAGTTTTTGAATACACACATATTATTGGGTAAAATTACTTTGGTTTGTTTTCAGCCCCAACTTTAAAGGCTCTCTAACGTTAATATGAATATGAACAATTGGAACATTATCATACACTTTTATGCAGCAAAATATCTCCAAAAATGAGAATAATTTCCCTTTTTTTCTGAATTACAACACCTTTGTCATTTTAATACAACAATACAAAATATTTGCAGTGGCAAAACTATCTATATATATATATATATATATATATATATATGCATATGTATATATAAATCAAAAATTTTGTAACGACTTTTTTATTTTCTAAAGCTGGAAATATTTAGCACGCACCATAAACCAAATTTTAGCAGATGCACGAAGAGTCGACGCTAAGAGAAAAAAATTCTTAAAGAAATCTTTTCAATCAAAATTTATAGCGATGCGAATCGATCAAATAATAGAAAAAGAGACCGAAAATCAGGAAAAGATAGATAGAAGGAAAGAGAGAGAGAGAGAGAAAAAGAGACGAAGGCGGAATCAATTTTCATTTAGCTAAGGGTTGATAATTTAAGTTCAAAAATATCCTTCGAATAAAGAGACGATCGTTACACCCTTAAAGGGTGCCAAAGAGCAATAATAAAAGAATAGAGGTGCATTGTACCAGGTAAAATTGGCTCACATGTGTGTCTTCCATCCACTATATTTTTGAAAATGTTTTCTTTCTAGCACAGGACAACTGTTAATTATTCCTTTTCAAAAGAAACCTGGTGCCTGCAAGGTAATGCAAATAGTACGAGCATGCATGACTTGAAGTTTAATCAATTCCTTCTTATTTTTGGGTGGTGGTGGTGGTGGTAGTTCTCTTATGGATGCTGCCTATGTACAATAATATCTTGTTGCCAGCTGCTGATGCACATTTCTACTAAAAACACTTATTTAGTACTTGTTGTTTATTGCGTTTGAGGAAATTTTAAAACAACATACATACCGATAGACTTCAAACTCAGGCAATAAAATTTTCAAGGGTATATGGGAAGCTGGGAAACAAATGTTTGCAATGCTTTTTTGTAAATAAGTTTTTTTGCTCTTTTATATACAATGATTTTGTTTCATTACTTTTATTCTTTCTTTTTTTTTTTGGTTTGACATACTTTCTGCAGTTGTGGCATTCCTCACGATGTGTTAGAATATTTCTGGTGTTCCTTTCCGTATCAAGAGAATGTGTACTTGAAATTTGTAAAGACTTGGGAATTGATTCGTAGACCATGTTTCACAAAAACGCTGTCCTAGGTATTTCTGCAGAGAAAGTAGAATTCGTTGGCTTAGTGTAAAGGAATTAATTAATTAAAAACAAGCTATGAAACTATTAATGTATAGCCAGAGAAATACATTCTAAAGATTTGATTTTTGTGATTCGAATCCAAGACCACTGAGCTGATAGTTGAAATCCTTTGCCTAGTCGACGTCCAAGGGTGCTCAATAGTCTGCTGCGATTGCGGTTATCCTAAAAAAAAATTAAAAAATTAAACGTTCGTATTCTACGCCGTGGGATGGGCGTGCCTGATTTTTCGCAATTTGATTAGAACAAAAATGGAAATTT